CTACATCAGCCAGTTCCCTCAGGACTCTGGGATGCATCTCATCAGGTCCCATGGACTTCTGTACGTTTAGGTTCCTCAGGAGGTCCTGAACCTGGTCTTCACTTACAGCTGGAGGGATTTTACCCTCCTGGTCTCCTTCATGCCATCTATCGACTCGGAAGGGGTGAGGAGAGAGATTGCCAGTGAAGACTGAGGCAAAAAAGTTGTGGAGTACCTCAGCTTTCTCCTCATCTGCTGTTACCAGTTTGCCGGTCTCGCTCATAAGCGTTTCAAGCGTTTTTCTGAAAAGAGTGATTACATCGATGGCTGCATCCAGATGTGCTGGCATTTCCAGCTCTGTGAGGCTGAAGTAGTTTTCCCTGGTCTAATTGACCCAATGCCATAGCTAGCCGTTCCCTCGTTTATGCTGATGCAACTGCTGGTGAAGCTGCCTGTAAGTCTGTTTATTGACATGATCTGTCTAAAAAATACTGACACCCGAACAAAACCCCCAAACAAACCCCCCACACATACACCAAGAACCAAACTCACATTAGGGAGTTGTTTTTAATCTGCAATGTTTTAGCAGCCTGTTTGTGGCATGACTGTACATACTCTATTGGCAGCACCAGGGGGAAAAGTGGCAAGTGTCAGCTTTACCACCAAAGACAGGTAAATGTGTAACTGTATTCTCTGGATGTGGTTCTGCCATCACTTGAGAACAGACATGAGATGTAGCTTCATGGCCTTTTATCCATGGCCTGTCCTCATGGCCCTTGTATCGCTGCGTGGACATGGAGTTGCTGGCCCAAAGGTGGAGAAAGCAGGACAGGCCCTTTTGACAGCGACATATCCAGAATGCTTTCCTTGAGATTGCTTTTCCAAAATATCTGTTGCTGTAGTAAAGCAGGTAGACATGCTTGATTTGTACGTGTTGATGGCAGTTGTTGATCTGGTAATCGCTGGAGCCTGGCAACAGACACGTGAGGTGAGGAACAGTAGCAAAGAGGTTTGTGTTTCAGGAGAGAGTAGTTAATTTGAAATTAAAATTATTTGTAGTTCATTCTTGGTAGATTTTTAACTGTTAAGTTTTAGCTAAGCATACCAAGAGAAGATTTGCATTTGTAAATGACCGCACTAGATCAATGCCATTAACAGCAGGTTTCACGACACCAACAATGTAACAGTAGCTGGGAAATTTACTTTCTTTGTGAAATGCATTGTTTTCCAGAAGAGAGCTGGCAGACCTACAAATCAAAGATTTATCTTGTTTCTTCCTTACTTGACTTCTGTGACTAAGGCTTGACCAATGTCTTGGTGTTTTTGTACATACTAGAGGTAGTACTCAAGAATATGCCAATATCATTAAGCTTTGGTACAGCTGTGTAAAATGAAATATGGTGTGGAAGGAGAGCAGTGCTTGGATTTAAGGTCTAAACAGAAGAGGAGACAGATCATTGTTACTGGTGTATGTTCTGGTATGTTTTCTGAGCTTTTGATTTAATTGGTATTTCTTTTTTATTTTTTCTTCATGGCAGGAAGATAAAAGGAGGCAACATAGATGTGCATCCATCTGAGAAAGCCCTCATTGTCCACTATGAAGTGGAAGCAACGATTCTGGGAGAGATGGGAGACCTCATGCTGGGGGAGCGTAAGGAATGTCAGAAAATGTAAGGTCATAGCAAGTTCTGATAGTTTTTTCTGTTTTTCATGGAGTCATAAATTTAATAACTCAAAGCTTCAACAGCCTGTAAGAAATAGTATGTTCTAATCTTTATAAAACTTAGTGCTAGATTAGCAGAGTGTTTAGAAGCCAGGAAATAACATGTGCGTAGGAAAGTTAACATCTAAAACACATGTTGTATACTGCTTTTTATCTATGTACTTTTGGGTGTTTTGTAAAGAAAAGTGATTATTCTCATTTTATGTGATGGGAACTTGAGGTAGAGAAGTGAAGTGATTGGTTCCTACTCAAATGGTGGTTAATGTTGGAGCAAGTGATACTACTGAACCTTCTGACAGCCTTGTGCTCTAGCTGTTGGCTCTACTGTGGTTCTGATCTGTGACCGCTTCTAGTGATTTCACTACAGTATCTGCATTTTAGTTTTGCCTGGTATTTTTCTTTTAAGAGCATTAGAACATTTCCCATTGGAAAAGGCCCACAGAACTATCATAACTTTAGTTTTCAAGCTAGAACTTTGGACCCTTCCTAGCTTTGTTTTATCTCTATACTGAATTCTTTTTGAAAATTTGAGCTGAAGTGACTACCTGTGTGAGTGCATGTAAGAAGAATAATTGGGAAAGAAAGAGAGACCTTAAATTGTCTCAAATTTTTGGAGAGATCAGAAATGTTCATCTGTTTTCAGATGAATCAGCATAACTTGCATCTGCAGTGTAGTGGAGTTCCTTTTTGATCCATCCTGGTATTAATACCCACAGAGATTTCCTATGCTCATTGCTAGTGGACCTGTCTACAGGTCTGCCAGACCTATGGGAGATTCCTGATACTGTGTCTGCAGGCGCTGCAAAAGAACCTTCCTGTGTAGTCAACACCCATAGCTGTTTCTTATTTTGGATTTTTTTGTGTGTGCAATACTCCTTTGCAGTCCTGTACTTTTTTTTTTTGTGTGTGTGTGTGATGTATTGCAAATAAATTACTGGCTGCTGTCTCTAAGGTGGTTAGAAGGGTTCTGTTCATACAGCTGCATTTAGTGTTGCTGCTTGCCAGCTGATGGACAGTTACGTACTGTCAAATCTATTTGACAGTTACTTGCCATTTGGAGTTGCAGAGAGCCACTGCTTTGACATTACCTTTGTGGCCATGGTATGGGCATTGAGGGTATCGGGATCATTTCTGCTTCAAGAAATTTGTGACTGTGTAAACATAAATCAAAGGACTGAAGGTACAAAAATTTAGAAACTGAAAAGAGACCTATCTGTGTTGCAGCATTCGGCTAAAGAGTCTTAATGCAAATACAGACATTGCTTCCCTGGCTCGAAAGGTGGTTGAAGAATGCAAGCTCATTCACCCCTCCAAACTTGCAGAAGTAGAACAGCTGTTGTACTACCTGCAGAATCGCAGAGATGCCTCAGCGGCAAAAGGTAAATAATACAGGAACAAAGTAGCTTGGGACTGGGGTGCTTCAGCAGTGAAAACTGCTATGTGAAGTTTTTCTAGCTGAGGTCTGAACTTGCTTAATGTACAAGTTCTTCAGAGACACTGAACATGGAGAAGATGTATAGTTAAATCATGCTTGGAAAAAATTACAATCTTGGAGCGAGGTGGGGAGGAATTATCATCTTAACCAAAGTTTATTTTTTTGGTTAGTTAAACTTAGTATTGATGCTTCTTACTGGCTGCCTTGTGCTTTAGCAGAACTTGAGAGGTAGAAATTCCACTATTTAGTGCAGCCTCTTCATATTGCCTCTGCACTTGCAGTGACATCAAAAGACTGTATGAGGATCTTCCTAGAAAGACCTTTGTCATCATTAGATAACGTTCCTAGGCTGAGTTTGTGCGGTCTGTAAAGCTGGGGTGAGGAGTTGCAGAGCCTGACCAGCTTTGGTACAGTGTAGCAGACAGCTTGGGGTAATTCTCTCATCTTGTCTTCTTAAGTTCCTGGTGAACAAGTTACTGAGAACAGTAATTCTTTGCTCTCATGCCAAGGCATTTTGGCGGTCCTATTTATGTTTTAAGTTAATCTTAAACTTTCTGTTCAGGGGACAATTTCATATTTAACATCTGATCCTGCATTACCTTGTGCTTAGGAAGGTTTCTTGCAATCAGGAATTGGTAAGCTTTGTTCTCAAGTTGGATTCTTATCTTAATGGGATGAGTTTAAAACAAAGATTAATGTTATTTATATGCTTTTTTATTTATATCCTTTTTTATTATGTTTATATGTGTCTTGGTGTATCACAGGGCAGCTTTGCCACAGTGTACAAGCAGAATCAAAGCTACTAAGGTGTCTCGCTGAGGAAGCGAGTTTTGTCAGTCTGGGCTTGCAGGAAGGTTTGTTACCCTCTGTCTCCCCAGCTGACTGGGCTGTAACTGATCGTTTAGACTGAGGACTCAAAAGGCATCTGAGGATTCATTTTGCTCCCTGTGGGCTATTCAGCTTCAGAAACCTGACATACTTTAGCTGTGTTAGTCTGACAGGTCAGCTGGACACAAAAGGCTTTGACCTTGATTTAACTGGAATGTTTACTATGAGAATACTGGATATGTTTTTTGTCTGCGACTATGCATAACTTAATTGCAACTGTGTATTTTTCTTTGTAGAAAAGAAAGAGAAATCCAATAAGCCAAAAGATCCGCCCCCATTTGAAGGAATGGAGGTAAATATTGGTGTTACAAGAGAAATGCAAAACCCATTTACTTAAGTAAACTGTTATATAAGGAGGGAGAGAGGAAATGCTGAATTCTGGGGTTTTTTTGCTACTTGTTTTTTTTTTCAAACAAAGAACTTGGTTTGGAAATATTGCACAATGGAAGAAAAATCATCTCCATAAAGGGTAAAATATTTGACTTGCATACTTCCTCCTCCAGCTATAGCACCCAGCAGGACAGCAAGTGAGGTCTGGAACATCGGACAAGACACAGGGAGTCATGTCTGAGCATCCTTTGTTTTTTGTAATTAAATCTTCTCAGATTTCCTGGTGTTCATTGGCAGTGATTCTGAATGTTGATTTTTTTTTTTCTTCCCCCTTGTGTTTTATTTTTCCTAAGATCTTAACTCAAAGCTGTGCACTCTTTTGTCTTGTGATTAAATAATGTCGTGATTGATTGTCTTGATTTGACATTTCTCTCTCTGTTTCTGTGAAACCTCTGCTTATGACTGCTTTCAGATTGATGAGGTTGCCAATATCAATGACATGGATGAATACATTGAGTTACTGTATGAGGACATTCCTGACAAAGTGCGCGGCTCTGCCCTCATCCTGCAGCTGGCTAGGAATCCTGATAATTTGGAAGAACTGCTTATCAATGGTAACTGTAAAACCCAGTGGTAACTTCTCTTAATGTTGTGCTGTTTATTTGTGGTGCTTTCTTCTCAAGGGAAAAGTAGTTTGCCTTTAACTTGGGATTTTCTGTAGTTTGCAAGGCGTTGCTTCTCAGTACAATAAGCTGGCTGTCAAAGCCTGGCTGAATCTCTCTACAAATGGATGTGTCTTAGGCTGTTCTTAGGTGGGCCTAACACAGAAATCTTCCTGGCCACAATAGGCTTCAGCTGTTTTTTCTCATCCTAGTTATTTTGATGCTAAATTAGCTTCAATTGGCATTGCTGATGGAGACAAGAGAATGTAGAGTTGTATCCTGAAGATCAGGAAACTTGCTTTGAGAGTAGGATTTGCAGGCTGACGTAAGTATAGGTATCCAGTTTCTAAGGGAATTAATAAATTGAATGTGGATACATCACTGAAGTAATTCACTAGTACGCCATCCTCTTTTTGCTTATGGATCCATTTTAAAATCTTACCAGAATGCATGATAGGACGTTCACATTGCAGTCATTTTGTCTCTGCGTACACATGTGCTGTGCCATGTGCATTTTGAGAGCTACATCAGTGTGGAATGCTGTATGTTTATAAGTGTTTGGGTACATGTATATGTGTTCTCATTTCCCATTGTCCCCTTTCTTCCGGGGCAGAAAAGGACCTTATAGTCTGTAAAGGTGTCAGACAAACAAAAGATAAGGGCAATCCAAACCATATCTCCAAAATGATGGTAGGTTCATGTCTTGTTAATTTAGGCTTTTTTTTTTTTTTCTTGCCCCCTTTGTCTCTAACTGAGCTCTTATAGCCCCACATTCCTTGAGTAAATGATGACTTCAGTGTGTACTCTACCCATCCTGCAGCATCAGCAAGATTATTGTATGAATTGGAATGGGAGGGGTATGGTAAGCCGTCATATAACGGCTTGTCCCCCTGAGTTGTTGCAGATATTCTAGTGCTTGAAATTGCCAGTTGCTGCTTTTCTCGTTCTGATCATGTAATGTGTACGGGAAGAGGGACTAGATAGGGGGAAAGTCAATGGAAAAGATAAGTGATTCAGAAAGGAAAACTAAGCTGAAATATGACAAGAAGAAGTATAAATCCAAACTATTAAATAAAGTTGCTACGGGGGGAGGTGGGGGGGGAATAAATAGAAAGAAGTGGACAAAAAATGATAGCTGTCAAGGTAGAATTTAAAGGGGATTTGGAAGTGAATATGGTGGTGTTCTAGGTAGGAACCACAGTGTAGTATGGAACATACAGATGACAGAGGCCACAAGATCTTAAAGTCAGTGGTAGCTTTAAGATGACCTTAGTGTTTGGTTGCAGTTTCCTTGCGTGTCGCCTCTTCTTAGGGTTTGTGACTGGATGACCACCCAGGGTATTCTCTATTTTAGTACCATCTCCAAACAGAACTTGTGACCAGTGTTATTAGAAAACTGATGAATGTAGAATAAGGTGTATTCAAATTTTGAATCTCTCAAGACAAAAGGATGGAGGTGAAATGCTGACACCCATCTAAATCTTGTTTCACTTCAGAAACTGCTCTGGGTGCATTGGCTAGAGTGCTGAGGGAAGACTGGAAACAAAGTGTGGAACTTGCTACCAATATAATTTATATTTTCTTCTGCTTTTCAAGGTGAGTGCAGAGTCCCTGTGTATAGGGACATGAGGAACTTCTCTCTGCTTAGTGGCTCTTCATTTGTGTCCTGCACTGCACTAGAAAACCTCACTGAAACAGGAAAAAAATTTGCTGAGATGGAAACACACTTGTTATAAATGACAAAGTTGAGGCACGAGAAGAACCCACATGGTGAGGCAAGGCGTAGTAGAGCTGGGAAGAAGTTAGTAAGGATTCTGACTCGTAGCTTATAGGCAGAGCTGCCACCTTTTATTTCCCTCAGTGTTCCTACAGGGAAGAAACGATACTCAAAACTGAAGTGCTTGCTCTTATTTAGAAATGCCAGGGTTTCAGCATACCCTGCCTAGAAATAGTTCAAATGGATTTTGCATTGTAACTTGATTTTAGACCTCTGTTATATGGCTGGTGAGTAGAGGGTCCTCTGAAGCACTTACATTAGGAAAAGTGGGGCCAATGGGAAAACATTTTTCCGTTACACATGAAAATTGGAATGTGTTTTTATTTTGTCTTGAAACAACACACTGTTGCTTGTCCTTCTACAAGTTTGGAAAAAATATTCATGTTTTCAGGAATAGTTTTTGTTTTGAAATAATTTTCCAATAGAGAAGTTTTAATGGGGCATGGAGTAAATACATTTTTTTTAATATTTCATGTGATGCAGTGTTGGGACACTGCTACCATAGATGTTAAAACAGATTTAGGGTTGTTTGCATTTATTTTTTTCCTCACAGGTGTTTTTTCTTCAATGTAGTTTTACTCAATTTCATGGAGTAATCACACACTACAAAATTGGAGCTCTGTGTATGAACATCATAGATCATGAACTGAAGAGACATGAGCTTTGGCAGGAAGAACTTGCTAAAAAGAAGAAAGCTGATATCCTTTTAATATGCTGGGCCAGCTTGATGGCTTCTGACTTCTCTTGATAGCTGTTTTTGAGTTATACCAGATGAGTGTACAGCAATTTCTCTGAAAGCAGTAGAATTTACTAGAAAGTGCAAAATATAATTGCAGATATGAAAAAGACCAAGAGTGAGAAGTTTGGGCTGGTGAAGAGATTAAGCTGAAGTTACTAAAACAACATAAGAAGAAAAATGTTTTATTTGATCAACAGTATGTATTAGGAACATTTTTGCTGACTATTAGGATGTAACATGTCCAGGATTAGGAGGAGAAAAAAACCCATGCTGTAGGTTACAGGTGTAGCAAGCTGTTGCTGAGGCAGTCTCTCTCCACTGGCTGTTCCATAGATCTCTTGCTTTTTACTAGTGATTGAGTAACACCTTTGAGGACAGTAGTCAGCTTGACTCTAACTTTTATCTGAACACCTTAACTTCTGCAGTTTACTTGATGAAGACCCTGAAAATCAAACCCTGAAAAAGGACTACGAGAAAACTTATAAGAAATATCAAGGGCTGGTTGTCAAGCAGGAACAGCTACTAAGAGGTACCAAAGCCAAGCAGCAAATTATTTCCTTGTTGGTGAACATGGGTAGAGGGTGCTATTGGATGCTTGTTATAACTAGGAGGTCTTGAACTACTGAATGTGTGGATGAATGTGGAAGGTCATTGCTGAAGGACAGGGAAAGACGAGTACTTAATCGGATTGTTTGACAGTATGCTGACAATTTTTAAAGTAATCTGTCAGTCTTAGAGGAAAAATAGCAAAAGTGATCCACTTACCTTTGCTTTGCTCATGATGTTGGTTTGGGAGGAGTTGAATATTTTGGTTTTGTGTGTTTGATTCGGGATTTTTAACTTAGCCTAACTTAGCCTGTGTCTGACTCAAGTTGAATAGCTTTCACTCTATCTCAGTTTTTGTACTAAAATACACTTAATGTTAGATTGAATGATCTGAGTGGCAAAGCTTTCCAGGGAAGGGCTTTTTAATGGTTCCCACTGGAACTGGAAAAAAAAAAATATAAAAAGCTTCATGTGATGATTTTTTTTTTTTTTTCCCAAAAGCCACTATTAGAAGTAATCTTCTTAATGCTTTCCAAACAGGAATAAAAAGCATTCATGGTCAGTTTTGTTCAAAATGCATTGGGAAGAGAGCAGAATGTTTCTGAAAGTATTGTCTTAAGCGCTTAATGTGTATATAGAGACTTGTTTATTTCTATTGTCTTTGATCTGTGGTGTGATTTGTATTGGACTTTGATAGTTGCACTTTACCTGCTCCTAAATCTTGCTGAGGATACTCGCATTGAGCTGAAGATGAGAAACAAGAACATTGTCCATATGTTAGTGAAAGCACTGGACCGTGATAATTTTGAGCTGCTTATTCTGGTTGTATCTTTCTTGAAGAAACTCAGCATTTTTATGGAGAACAAAAATGATATGGTAAGGCTCATAGCACTCTATGGCAATACTGGAAAGGTATGGATTATGAAAACTTTGTGTGGTTGGAGGGAAGAGGGAGACATCTCTGTCCCCACCCTAAATATCTGTAGGACCGATGATCCTCTTTTGTTACTAGTAAAATGTAAACACGTAGAAGAAAATAAGTACAACATCCAGCCATAACGTACTGCAAAAATTTTTGAAGAACTGTCATCCCAAACAGTGAAGCTACCTCAAAATATGATACATGAAGTTCCAAATTTTCAAGTCAGCACCCCAAAGTCTTGTCATACCCGCACTTCTGGAGATGCCCATAGCTCTTCCCCCAAACTAGACTCTTGACAACATATTGTTTCTGCCATGTATTGTCTTGGAAAGAAAGGTAGTTATCATTTTGCAGTTTACCTGTTTCCCAGGTCAGCTTGGTTTTCAAAGACACCTCACAACTGTTCCTTCGTGCTGCAAGTAGCTCCTAAGAAGCAGAGGCAGTGTTACTCTGCGTAAGCTTTATTTAGATGAAGTCTCAAACTTTTGAGATTGTAGCATATTCTTTTTCATTACTTTAAGCTCTAGACAAGTATCTCCTTTACTGATTTCCCAGTGGCTTTTGGTAGATACATGCCTTCACTTCTGTGTCATTATGCCAGTTTGTTAAATGAAAATGATAAATTTTCCTTATTCAAGAGGTAATCTGAGATTAGCATTATGCTGACATAGTGAGATGAAGAGATCTGTGTAAATGCAATAGAAAATTAATTGCATCTTTGTTACTGGAACTGTCATCGGCATGCATATGCACAGAACACTGCAGACAAGAGCTATCTCCCTTATTTATATATGGGTATCCTATTTCTTAACTGAAGTCAGAAACCAAGCAAGTGTTTTGGGGGGAATGTAAACTGATTATCAGGTGATTGGTCATTAATTTAGTTTATACTTGTGTAGTGCCCTCAAGGACTTTGTTAGGAAAATAAGGATTAGCTCTCCAGCCCACTGATTTGCTGGCACACTTTCCACATTCCATTTGTTTTAGTGGAAAGACAAATAAAGCAAAATTGTTAAATTTATTTTATTGCAGAGTGTTTTAGCAGTTTTGAAAAGGTGTTTGAAAAGGTTTGAATGCTTCAGGTGAGCTGTCTGTCTGAGCACTTCTTACTGATAATAAAGGTTGATACTTTTTTCTTCACAGTATTATTAAGGAAAGCTACCAGTGAAGGAGAAGGTGCTCTAATATTTGTATCAGGCAGTAACACAAAAAAGTTGAAGGCAAAATGAACCAAGATTAGTTGTGCAATGCCTGATTCAAAGTAAAACTGAATAATCCAAGTATATTTATAGCACATTCTTTCCTTTGGTACTCAAGTGCCATATTAAATCCAAAACAGTGAAGTAGGAGTTCTTGCTATCTGATGGTTTTTGATCAAAGGTATCCAGTCAGTTGTTTGATTATTGCACTATGCAGTGTGGGGAGAGCTGTAGTTTCTTTTCTTAGTATTCATTCTGTGTGTATTTATAACTGGAAAGCTAGTTATATACATGTAAAAGTTTGAAGAATGCAAAGTAATTGTATGTGCTGCTTCCTGGCCAAAGAAGGTTCTGCAAAACAAAAAATGAATGCATTTAAAAGATTACATCAAATAAAAGCAGAGAAATTGTTGCTTAAAAGATGATAAAAGCTTTCTGAAGTCTTGCCAGTCAATGCTCACATGTCTTTTCTGGCTGGTAAAGTGAACATGATCTCAGGGACTGATACCACTTCTTAGTTCCTGGATTCCACTTTTTAATTTGAAAGTGATACAAGTTTCAAGATGACTTTCATGCTTTTATTAAATTAACATCCAGGATGGCATGTCTCTTCTGAGAGCACATGCAAAGTTCTGTCTAGGGGTTCATTTGAAATTCAGGATGAAACGTCTCAAATTCTTTTTGGATGCCAATTTTCTGTCTTTCTTGGTTGGGTATCTCCGACTCTAATGTCGGTTGTTCCAGGGTTGCTGGTGTTTAAGTGTAAATGAGTTTCCCCTCAATCTAGTCTTGCAAGTGATGTCTTGACCACATCCTTGCAGTATTCCAACTGTGAGGAATATTTCCAAGACATCTAGATTGTTTGGTTCAAAAACTTTTTAAATCAACATTACCCAGTAACCCAATCTAAATGACTTCAACCACAAAGACAGAAGCAAAGCTGCTTCAGATGAAAATGAATTGACAGTCACTATTATGGGTACAAATTGGATACGTATTTGCATACGTGTGCGTGTGAGTATGTAACACACTGAGAGGGCTTTCACATTGAAGACAAAAATAAGTTTGGATGGATTATGGATTTTTCTTTTTCTTGATATACAGATTGAAATGGATATTGTTGATACTAAATCTGTCCTTTGACACAGGCCTGAGGAATAAAATGGTACAAGTTGGTCTGCTTCCCAAACTCACTTCACTTCTAGGTATGTTTTCGTTTGCTCTAACATAGATGTTTCAGCAGGGACCGTGAAGCTCTTTGCATTATGACATAGTGTGCCTTAGAGTTGCTAAGTTGTTTTTCTCTTTGGCAAAGAACTTCCTCACCACTCCCAACATTTTGTCATTCAGTTCATCTTTTCAGATGCAGGTTTAAATGGAAGTTTAAAATAATGTAGTTCCCAGTACATTTTATTCCTAAGTTCTCTTAAACTGTTGAATGAATCTTCTGGTTTTTAAAAGTGACTTTGATAGGTACCTGAAAACGATGTGAGCTGACACATGGGTGATGCTTGTAATTTTGGGGGAGCCCTATGGAAAAATAGTCAGCAACTTCACGGAGCTCAGCTGATGGAGGTACCAACTAGCCCCCCTCCCCCTTTTTTTTCTTTTTTTATGAAGCTTGATATGTACCTGCTGCCTCTTGTTATCTTAATGGTCCAGGTAGAGAGGTCAGATATTTCCCAGCTTTGTCAGTCAGTTTCAACTCTAGACAGTACTGACTTCTAGACTTTCAACTTGACAGTCTGTAACTTGTGTTAAGATTGCGTGAGTACTTCAGATAGAAGTGAAATTTTTTTGTTGTCCGTAGGGGAGAGCCGTGGAGACAATAAGGAGTTTGGAAAAAGTAGAGGATTGTCTGACTTGATCGTTGTTGTACGCTGGAGTTCTCAGGAGAGAGTTTTTATTGCTCCTATGTGTTCTTTGGCTGTTTACTATCTAGACTCCACTCTGGTAGATGCACTAAATGTTTAGCAGGATTTGGCCGTAAGACTTGCTGAGTATTCATTTTTAAGTTGGAGCTGGGAATCTTGTATTGTGGAGCCCTAAATGCATGAAACACTGATGCAAGACATTGTTAAAACTTTGAGATATGTTGGGTTTGGTTTGTACTAAATCCGGTGCAGCTGGTGTATCCAGATGTGATTGGAAGAAGTGGAATGCAGCAGTGGATCTGTGAGCTTTCTCCCCTAGCTTTGTGTAGTCTCTTAGGATTGTTTGCCTTCTCAATTTTACATTCAGCCTCAACACGACCTTATTGCTATTCAGTATTCAAGTTAATACTGTAAAAACTTCAACTGCTTTGGAAGCCTTAATCCTGTCAGTGATTAATATAACAGCTACCTGATATCATAGAATGATAGGATGGTTTGGATTGGAAGGGACCTTATAGATCATCCGCTTCCACCCCCTCTGCCATGGACAGGGACACCTTCCACGGAAAACATTTTTGTCACTCCTCTGCTACTATGTACAAGACTTTGAATGATGACATTGCTCGTAGAGACATCTGCCATCAGCAGGGTTACCTTGTGATAGGCACTTGCTTGTTTTCATCACGTTGCAATCAGGACAAGGGAATCACAGAATCACAGAATAGTAGGGGGTGGAAGGGCCCTCTGTGGGTCATCTAGTCCAACCCCCCCGCCGAAGCAGGGTCACCTACAGCAGGCTGCACAGGACCTTGTCCAGGCGGGTCTTGAATATCTCCAGAGAAGGAGACTCCACAACCTCCCTGGGCAGCCTGTTCCAGTGCTCCGTCACCCTCAGAGAGAAGAAGTTCCTCCTCATGTTCAGACGGAACTTCCTGTGCTTCAGTTTGTGCCCATTGCCCCTTGTCCTGTCACTGGGCACCACTGAAAAGAGCTTGGCCCCATCCTCCTGACACCCACCCTTCAGATATTTGTAGGCATTTATAAGGTCCCCTCGCAGCCTTCTCTTCTTCAGGCTGAACAAGCCCAGTTCCCTCAACCTCTCCTCGTAGTGGAGATGCTCCAGTCCCCTCACCATCCTTGTAGCCCTCCGCTGGACTCTCTCCAGTAGCTCTTCATCCTTCTTGAACTGGGGAGCCCAGAACTGGACACAGTACTCCAGATGAGGCCTCACCAGGGTAGTGTAGAGGGGAAGGAGAACCTCCCTTGTCCTGCTGGCCACACTCTTCTTGATGCACCCCAGGATCATTTTTGTGACTTCCTCTGGCCCTGCTCCAAACAGGTCCATGTCTGTCCTGTGCTGAGGGCTCCAGAGCTCCAGGATGCAGGACTCCGAGTGGGGTCTTAGCAGAGCAGAGGGACAGAATCCCCTCCCTCGACGTGCTGCCCACGCTGCTGGGAATGCAGCCCAGGGTACAGTTGGCCTTCTGGGCTGCGAGCGCACATTGCCTGGGCATGTTGAGCTCCTCATCAACCAACACCCCCAAGTCCTTCTCCTCAGGGCTGCTCTCAATCCATTCTTTGCCCAACCTGTATTTGTGCTTAGGATTGCCCCGACGCATATGCAGGACCTTGCACTTGGCCTTGTTGAACTTCATGAAGTTCATATATCCTGAAATACCTCACATCTTTTCATGCTTTCTGTCCCACAACTGTGTTTGCACTTGATATCCTCCTCTGGGCTGAGCTAGGAAGAAGAAAAATGGCATTTGGAATCCCTCTTCTTTATACTTTTTTCCTCAAGACAATGTTATTTGGCAGTAAAGTAAACTAAGAAGTGGAAGCTGTTCAGGAAATACATTTTTCTCTCATTTGAGAGAGGATCTGGCTAGGTAGTCTGGTTCAACTTGGATTGTAAGCTTTTTTGGAGCAGGAACTTGTCTCTTTGATTTGTTTGTACAGCAGCTAGTCTGTGGTCTAAGGCTAGGGCTTCTGGGTGCTTGTCACCCCAAGGAATGGCATGACACAAATCACTGAAGTCCCTGCTCCCAGAAATTCCTCATTTACTGTTAGAGTCAGACTGAACTCAACAGTTAAGTATCTGGTTTCTAGTGTCTGATTCTAATGTGGAGAGGAGAATTTCTTTTCAAATGCCATTCTCTTGGACTTGTAAGTAGGCCTGTGCGGAAGGCTGTTTAGCTCAGAAGAACTGACTGCTAAAATTGCAGTCTATTCCTGAGGTGGCTGTTAGGGTAATCTAGAGCAAATTCTACTAGTACTTCCAAGAAGCTTCACTGTCTGTTTGGCTCCGTGGGCGGTTTGTCTTTCGTTGACTTATAAGTATTTGACCCTTCTTTCTTTTTCTTTTTTTTAGCCAAGGCATGTGCTGTTTGCCCTCGCTCCTCCCTGTAGAGTTGCTTAATACTTACTTTGCAGTGTGCTGGTTAGAAAATGCAGGTAGAAAGATTGTCTATTACTTGTTTCTTAAGCCAGCTCTGTGATTTGTGAGACTCTTCTTGATATAATGGTTCAAATAATTTGCACATACATCACTTCGTGTATCCTGTCTCAGGGAAGCCTGCAACCTTAATAATAAAAAAATCATGTGCCAGATGTCCCTTTTATACAGGTTAATTGGGTATTAAACACACATTACTGAAGTCGGTACCCTTCGGCTTATGTTTGCAGGTCACCTTAAAGTGCTACCACACCTCAACAGCTGTTGACAAGTTATCAGATGACTCCTGATGCCAAGAGGTCAAGTTTGTTGGCTCAGCCTAGTGAAATTTAACATTTGTGCATGCTCTGCCTTTGAGTCTTTAGCACTGGCTTTGAGATGAGTATAGATGAAGTGTAGTAGGTGTTTAAGAGGAGAGTTGAGATTGCAGAGAATTAAAGTACAGGATTTCTCAGGCAGTGGTTTAGGGCTGAGCACTGCGGTGACTGCAATCTGCAGTTCTGGAAGACACGCTGCTTTCCCAAGGGATGCTTTGTGGCTTGGGAGCAGGAAGGCTCAAAATGTGAGTGGAGGCTGGAGGCAGAGGGGTGGACTGGCTTCAGCTGAGCTATCAGGATTGGACTAAGTATGACGTGAGTACATTGCAGAAGGACCATCTTCTTTCTTTCCTTCTCACTCCAGAGTGTTGAGGCTGCTGTTGAAAGCGTGGACATGAGAAATTCTGCTTAGTCTTCATTTCCACTTAATTAGCCTTTTCATTTTAATAGTGCCAATGCCCACTTCCCCATGTAGCTTTGCCAGTCAACACCACTTGCTAGGTTTCGTGGCTTCTCTTCACAAGTCTGAAGTATTGTATATGACAAGACTCCTCTTGCTCCCTCCAGGCACTCAAGTTAATCAGTTACAGCTGATCTTTGTTATGCTCTGGATCTTAAAGAACTGGGTGCAGTTGAGGGAAATTTGGCTTCAGACTTGAGATCAGAAGCTGGAGCAGAGCTGTGGAGGCCTGTGAGATACAGCTGTATTCAGGTTTTTCCATACACAAGCTGCTTGAAGAGGTATGCAGAGATTTTGTTGATTTGTGTGACTGCAGTTCTTTAAGAAAACCTTGTAATTGAGTCACCAGAGCCTTGTGGAGAACGTTTTTTCATACTGGTGGCTTTGCTTTAATACTTAGCAGTCATATTGACAGAGTGATCTGTCTTTAGTATGTCCTCTGTGTAAATGCTTTGTGTGCCAGTATATGTGATGTATGGCTTCAGTGGATTAAGGTGAGAATTCGTGTGAATTCACCAAGTGGTTTAAACTAGACATTTGTCTGAAAAGTGGAAAACACAGATTCAGTGCCCTCTAAGCTTCACCTCAGAAGGAGATAACAAAGCAGCATGCTCTTGACTATTCTGTGGAGGTTTGCTTCACTCTTGCAATGCTCTCATTTTGCTTTGCGTTCTGTAAGTCAAGTGGAGTGGAGGAGTGACTTGCTCAGTCACAGTAGAGATTGGTGGTTGGTGTCGTGGCTTGCAGAAAGCATTCTCACTGAAAGGGGGAAACATAGAGCTGAACTTTAAGAAAACAGATTCGCATCCTTCTTTTATCCGTGGGAATGTTCTTCCCCTGTTAGACAGAAGGGAAATGCTACCCTTGTTCATAATTCTTCCCCTCGATGTGTGATTGGTTTCTAAAGTAAATGCCCTGGCAGCAAACAGAAGAAAACATTGTCTGCAAGGAAGAATAAAAAAACCTCACTTCTTGTTTGGACCAAATCCGCTTTGTTTTTCAGTTAACTGGCCAAACCAAATGCAAAATTTTTAGTACAGCTCGCTTAAATATACGCACAGCTTGTGATTCACATTCTTCTAAGGACGCTATTTTGTGC